TGCCAAAGGCTGCATTTACTGAGCTTGGCAAACAGCTTATGCTCCCTTAGCCGATTCATCACAGTGCTTACATGAACCGCATGTTCTTCCCGACTCTTGGAAATAACTAGTATATCATCAATAAAGATGATTACAAATTCATCCAGGCAGTCTCGGAACACGTTGTTTATCAGCTTCATAAAGGTCGCAGGAGCATTAGTCAGCCCGAAGGGCATGACTACAAACTCGAAGTGACTATACCTTGTCCTAAAGGCGGTTGTTCTCACATCCGACTCTTTTATGGGTATCTGATGATAACCCGAAGCCAAATCGATCTTGATGAACCAAGTCGCCCCTGGAAGTTGGTCCAACAGCTCGTCTATCCGCGATAATGGGTACTTGTTCTTCACAGTAACCCTGTTCAGTCCACGGTAGTCAATACACAGCCAGAAACTCCCATCTTTCTTTTTAACGAACAGCACCGGTGCACCCCACGGTGAACTGCTCGGTCGAACAAACCCTTTCTCCATCAGATCCTTTAACTGCTTCTTCAGTACAGTCATCTCAGCCGGAGCCATCCGATACGGTGCCTTGGATATCGGCGCCGTTCCAAGCTCGAGCTCGATGGTAAACGGATCTGACCGTGCAGGCGATAAACCTGTTAACGCCTTAAACACATCTTCTAACTCATTTACGGCCGGAATACTGCCCAGCTCCGCATCCGCATCCGGTCCACCTCGGCGGTCGTGATCATAGCCAGGTACGCTTCACACCCCTTCTCATTCATCCGGCCAGCTTGCATTGCCGAAACAATCAAGCTTCCCTTGGTCGATCTGATACCCTGATACTCCAAAAGCCCTTCCGCAGTCTCGAACCGAATTCGGAAACGACGACAATCCAGATGTGCCTTGTACTTCCCTAGCCAATCCATACCAAGGATCACATCATAAGATTTCACCTGGCAGATTTCCAGATCCGCTGGCATATTCACGCTGCCAACCATTATCGACACATCCTTGACCTTACCGAGGGTAAACATGACCTGTCCACCAGCCGCCTAGACTAAGCCATAGTTATCCCCTGGTTCCCTGCCAAATCCACCTTTTCCGACCATGTTCGGATTCATGAAGCAATTAGTTGATCCGGAATCGAACATGATATGGGTTGCCACACCACGCATGACCAAGATCCCTACACAATCACCTAGATTGCTAACCTACCGCACGCACACTCAGAATTTTCACAGAAAATTTACTAAGGTAAGTGATAGGACTTACCAGTGATCAGACGAGAAGAACTCGGATCCTCCGTAGTCTTCTTAGTCACAGCATAGATCCGCGGCATCACGGCCTGCCTCTTTGCTGGAGGCGCCGGTCCTTCACTCGGCCTTTTTCCAGTGTGTTGCGCCACTTGCATCAGTTTTGGGCACCTCGGCTTAATGTGCCAAGTCTCACCGCAATGGAAATAAACCCTCTCATCTGAGCCGTTGCCTGGGTTCTTTCCGCGCTTGTCCTCCTCCGGATAATCTCTCACCTTGTGCTCCATGCTTCTGCACCAGAGACAAGCACCAGACGCGCGTCAGCTCGCACGTTTTTCCTTTGCATTGGTCGAACCAGCGTTACGACCCGCGGGTAGTTTGCCAGACGGTCCACCCTTTTTCGGCCCAGCTGCAGCAGCATTACCAAGTAACTTAGTTTCTTCCGCAAAAGTAACTTCCAGCTGCGCTGCCTTTTCCACAAGCTCCGGAAAGGTCTTGTACTCCCGCATCTCGCAATGCTTGCGGAGATCAATCCTTAGTCCACGAATGAACCGTTTGATCTGATTACTCTGGATTCCTATATCTCAGCCGGCAAACTTCTTCAGCTTGTTGAACTCTGCCTCATACTCTGGCACGGTTTTCGAACCTTGGCGCAGATCCAGGAACGCACTCTCTAACCGATCATGCGCCCAGATGGAAAATACTTGGCCTTAAACAACCCACAAAAATCAGCCCAAATACACACTCGGTCCCACACTTGCCCAACAGCACCGCGCCACCAGGTGTGCGCATCACCTCAAGATAGTGCACGGCAATATCTTTCTTGTACTGCTACGGACAGCGGATCGACTCAAAATTCCTCTCCAGACGGTCGATCAAATCATCAGCCTCGATCGGCTTAGTTCCTCACTGAAAAAATTTCGTACCCAACTTCTGCATGTGGTCCATCACCTTTAGGTAAGATGGGACCCTTACACCGGCAATTCCCTCATCCGCTTCAGCAGGCGGATTCACTTGCACGATTGGCGGTCGTGCCACTGGGGCTGCCGAAACAGCCGGAAATCGTGCTAACACCTGGGTTAACGAACCTAACACCACTTCCAATCCAACATGGGTAGGAGCAACGTTTGGAACAGTCCCAACCGCAGCAGTCGCAGCCGCATCCTTGGCATTACCAACAATGTTCGCATTTCAATTAACCTGATCCTGATTCCCACCCTCGGCGTACCTAGCCGCCGAGTTCTCACCCACAGCATGCCGTCTTCGATCACCTCTTGCCATCTACAAATGTTTAGATATTCTATTAAGTTAACCGGCAAACTAACTTAACACCGCAGACAATCATTATCAGCCTTACCACAGGACTTCGGCATTGGAAGGATGGTTTACCCACAAACCCATTTATGCTAAACTTGTCCTAGAACCGACCGCGCTCTGATACCAAATTGTAGCACCCTATCCTGGATTTTACTATTTCACTTATACTAAGTCAAATTTCGATCCGGATTTTACTTAGCATTTTCTTTCATTTTCGCATTTGGTTCGTTTAAACTAGACATAGCCGTGCATAAGTGGATTAAAAACAGAATACTTGAATTAAATCGAGGTTCTCAGTACAATGATTGTTCGCATATAAGCTATTACATCGACTAGACCTTAACTACCCGATCCTACCATCCATTCCTTTCCAGCCTCAGTCCGCGCGCGCTGATCAGACATTATCTTTGCCCTCATCCACAAAAGGAGGCATAAACAAACAGAATTGCTTAGTGAGAACGGTCATCCCGTCTCACTGAGCCAAAGTACAATCGCATCAAACAAAGATCGAGCCCAAAGCTCATCAGAACAGAAAAGTACCCGTGCATGACCATACACGCTTACCCAGCCGATCATCCAGCAACCAGACAAGCCTCGGCGAGCATCACTGCCGCAAACCCCTTGCCTGATCTAGATCGCCAGTAAGGTGGATCGATCATCACGGCATAGCCATCATAAATGTCATGACAAGCACAGAAATACAGGCAACCGACTAGAATCTAAGTAAGAATACGACCAACTAGGCCACGGTCACGCACTAACCTTAGCTTTTATCGGGCAGATTCAGTAAAGACAGAATTCTCGATCGATCAGACTCGTTCCCACGATCACTCGACATAATCAGGATCATGCTTGGCAGAATCCAGTTACTCTCGACCAAACAGACTTTCTCTCGACTAACTCCTCTTAAAACCGTTCTCTTAATCTTTCTGAGTTCTTTTTGGTCGCGCGAAGGAAAGAAAATGAGCCAGAAGCTTTTATTATATAGGCGCTCACACGATTTTCTGCAGAAAACTGCCCAGAAACCGTTCCCGCGCCAATCTGCGCACTCTCTCGGCAATAACCCCTCTCACGCGTGTTTTTGCCCGACTAATAACCGTTCCCGCGTAAACGCTTGCTCGGCCAAATCTATAACCGTTCCCGTACTTTTGCCTTAGCGCGTTTTACTCGATAACTGCTCTGGCGCGCACCCGTTTCCGACAAAGGCTGTCTGCTCCCGACCAACCTTGTCCGAATTCCGACCAAGTTCCGAAAAACTCGGCTTGTCGGAAATTCCCAGCTAAACTTCCCGAAAATCCCGGCGAGCTGATTTTAGCTTGGCAAAACTCGATTTAGCTCGGCGAAAGCTGGACTTAGCTCGGAAATCACCTAACTGAATCCAGTTTCACCTGACTACACCCGTTTTCCGACTTTCCTCAGTTAACCCCCTGGTTTTTCCCCATTTCTGCTCTACATATTCCATAACTCCCTTAACCAATTTTCTCACTTGGTAAGGTTTTCCCGAACACGGGTGTTACACAAAGCATACCATAGATTTTGAGAAGGAATAACCTACCATTCCGTTTGTACTATATAAACTTGAAATGATGATATGAATGTAAATATTACCTTCAAATTAAACGGAAAGATGATCTTGTTTTCCGTATACAAACGAGCAAGTAGAACATCGTGCTGGTAACGTGTGAAAAACAAATTCGGAATGGCGTTCATATACATGTAAACACTAGAGAAGAAAGATTTAGAGAAAGAGTTAGAGAATGAAAAACAACATGAAGATCTCTTGTTATTTCTCTCACTAGAATATCACATGTTTACAAAGCCCAACTCACCTATATATAGTGGAGGGAGACAAAATTTTAGAAACTTCAAGACAAAGTGATCCAAGAGAAATGAATGTCCAAAGGGGATGAATACTTAGTAGCTAAATAGCTTGGAGAGAAAGCCATTACAAATATATAATCAATATATTTATAACAGAATTAACTTCTACTTTTTCTTCTTCTCTGAGCAAACTCTTCTCCGCAGAATCCGTTCTTCCGTCGTCTTGCTGTTTTCCCAGAAAATCAGCCCCTGGCTTTACTCCTGTTTTGTCAGGTACCCTGTCCAACCGGCTTCTCCAACCTTGACGTTACCCTTTGGGCCTCGAGAAGGCGTTTCTTTGGACATTTTTTCATAAGAATGTAACATGCTTAGTATTTTGTTAGCATACTTCAGTATTGATATCGCAGACATCACTATTGATATCGCAGACTCCCAAAGTTATACATACATACTTGAATAGATTTTGTTTGTTCATTTGTCATAAAGATAGTTTTGAAGTTTCCGTATACTGTATACCTTGGAGGAGTTACTTTTAAGAATTGTCAAAATACTGTCAAAATGCAAATACAGTTTCGGAGAACCTCTTCCTCAAATACACTAAATACTCAATCTGTTACGAACCATCTGTCCCAAATTTCTCTTCTCTTTATAATTTTGCTGTTTTTAACTTATTTAACCTGGGATTGGGTTATAGATTACAACAAGGAATAATAATAATTGAGTTAAGAAACAAAAAACAAACAAACCAGGAGACCATTAACTTAACCTATAATGCAAAGACACCAGAGGAAACCTGTTTCATATATCAACATTCGTAGACGGTATGGAAAAAAAGAATCACACCACCATCTCTTTTCTTTCCTCTTTGATAGCTTCATATGAGAGTAACACCTCTTTGAATTTTGCTTCAGCTACATCTGCAACAATCGATGAGATACCACCGTCAAATCCCACCCAATAAGATAAAAGAATGCCCCTCGGAATCTCCATAGAGCCTACGAAAATGTTACCTTTGTTATCCAGGTTTTGGTCCGGATGGAATTCCATCGCCTTTTCCCTGAAGGCTTTCTGAATTTACAACAAATCCAAATCAAAGCATAAGTATCTTGCACAACGAAAAACATGACCATACCACTAGGTCAAGATTATTGCATCAGAAGTATTCTTGCCATGATTACCTTAATCTCAGCTTCTGTGTAAGGAGTTGCCCTGGACCTGCAACACAATAACACCAAAAACCCACATTAAGTTCCCTAGACCTGTCACCGTTTACTTAGAGAGTCGGAATCAATTACTAAAAAATCTTGCCGTTTGTAGCTACATTCACATACTGGAAACCATAGTAACGACAATGCAACCATCAAAACCCATTTTAATATGTTGATTCATCTAAAATCTGGACCTTTCCAGTAGACTGACCCATTTTATTATTTTGATTCATCTATATTTTACACACACTAAAAACTCAATGAAGCTTCTGATAGGTTCAGACTCTGAAGTGTGGAAAACAGAATCGAATTATTTCTCTACTGATCTTAAAAATATGCATTTTCAGTAATCAGTTACCAAAACTAAAAAGAAACAGAACGAGGACCAAGAACCAGAAAGTGAGTCAGTAAGTCCAAAGGCTTGCAAACAACCTAATGATCCAAAGACGCCTAATCTGTTCTCACTCTGTTTCTACATATTCTAGTGCCTATCAGCTTTAAATCTATTGCAACATAGAGTGTGAAGCTGGAGCCACGGATAATTATCATCGTGTATGAGCGGTGTCTGCATTTCTTTCAAATATAAAGCTATAACATACCTGCTGAGTCCTAAAACCGAGTAATGGTGTGATAATGGATAGACTCTACGCTGCTTTGGAGGCTCCTGGTGATTGGTTCTTTGGTTTCTGAACGTAGACTCAGTTTTCCAGTACCAATCATTTCGCTGAAACTGCTGATGGTATTGGTGGGCACTAGGATCACTTTCTTTCCAGTTCTCGAAGCCTCTACGAAATTTATTCCTCTCTCTGTTGAAAACGCTTTGCATACGCCTTATACGTTCCTGAATGAGAGCATCAAAAGATCTGAACAAGTTCAAGCGATTTCTACACTCCAATATTAGGTTTTTATAAAACTATTGATTGAATGGAGGATAAATATCTTTAAGTAAAAAAAAATTCATTCGTGCTACAATATTAACAGTAATTCAAATCTAAATAACACAAATTACTAACTCATAGTATCTGACATTTCGATAGCAACTGCAGAAGTTATTATAATCAAAACAAGCATGTGAAATGGCTACGCACTTTACGAGTAGAACACCCACAATGATTTTCCTTTTTTTGGCAGAATGAGTTTTGCAGTGGTAAAAGGTCAACTAGACTTACCACTCTCTCAAGCTCTTCCTCATACTCCTCTTGCATCCGTTTGTTGTACCTTTTCCATGCCTCTTCTTGAAAAGCTGTTCGGAAAGAACCGCCTCTGGTTCCCCTCCGTGCGGACTGTGATCTACCTACCTTTAGTGACAAAATTGCAAAAGTTGAGGCTGGAGAATGTAAATATTAACATGAAAACAGAAAAAGAAAACGACTAATGGAAAATATGGCGAATTGAAAACCCAAAGGCTGATGACATATGGGCAATTATTCACAAATAATACTGATGACTTTTAGCTACTAATGCTCACATGATTTTGGAATGTACTAATGAAGATAATCATTTGAAAACTAGCTGTAGGATTACTATCTCGGGGAAAAGGTTGGGTTTATTCACCTGGGTATAGACCCAATCAAAAGTTCTTCGCAGCTGATGAACCTACAAAACAATAGAAGCATCAATCACTGCAGTCCGACAATGATTTAACAAGATCAAACAGAGGAGAGAATGGTATAATTATTCCGTGATTCTGCAAGTTTTAAAATCACAGATTCTGGCCGAATCTTGTTAAGTTAATTCATGTAATATAACAAAGGAATAAGTTTTTCTAAACAAGTTCTGTTTTTCTAGCTTAATATTCCACAACTCCAATCCACCATTTCAGGATTGTCGAGGATCGATTCATCGAGTTACCCCGACCTCGTACTTAAATTCCCCATGATTTTCAAACTATTAAAACCTAATCTAGAGCACAACGATTTAACAAGTTACCTTTCAGCAAAGATTTAACCAGAGGACAGAATGGTAGAATGATTCCCTAATTCTGCAGTTTTTTTTCAATCACAGTTTTAGGTAGATTCATTCATGACAAAAAAAACAAACGAATCGATTTTTCTAGTGAAATTATGTTTTTCTAGCTTAATTCCGCAATTCCATCACACACTGTTTCTTCTTTTCCATCAAATCCACCATATCACAAAGCTAACAATCAGAGCCTAAGACTTCCCCAATGAATAACTACTGAGAAAGTCACAAGAGCCTCTAAAAATGAATCTTATCCAACTCTGTAACTAATTATTTCTCAACTATCAACCGTCAAGAATGAGAAGGAAATCACATAAATTGAAACTATACAAAGCAGCCAATTCACAATCATAATTCGATAATCTAACCGTAAACAAACCCTCACGAAATAGAACCGATCTCGCATAGAATTTGTATACTTACGGCGAAAGTGGTGGCGGTTGCGCCGATTACAGTAAACGTGAGGATTCCCCAAAGCTTTAAATCCGCTTTCTGCGACGGAGGTTTCCATTTATCATCTTTATCGCGTTCAGAATCTTCGCCTCCTCCCATTTTTCAATTGGTTTGGCTCTATGAGTTATAGATTCTTTGCGTTTGTGATCCAAATAACCCTAACACCATCCTCTGTGAATTGGATTGCTCTCTCTATTCGTCAACTGCGTAACATATAGGATTTTGATTTTAGCACAAATAAAAAAAAGGTAAACTGGATTTTGATTCTTCACAGTTTCCACCGCCTCTTGTTTTTAATAAACGACGTTTTCTCAGTCGTACGGAGAGGCGCAAATGAACAAATTTGTTGATAGTTGAAATGTACTTGGGCCTTTATTCGGCTTTCTCTTCCCCAAATAGCACACAATGAATATTGTTTTCTTAATAACCAACAAAATTTGATCTACGGGCCTACAAAGTTTTGACATATATGTTTGCGGAATTTTTTTTGGAGTCAATTAGTAAGACTGACAAAAGATTAGGTTGTGAAAGCCTTCTTGGTCTAAATAGTTATCATGAGTTTCAGTATGGTGCAGATGAAACCATTCAGTATAGATAATCGTCGAAGTAAAAATTCTCATAATTAATAGTTATTAAGTGTATACAGCATGGGTAAAATAACGTTAAAATTTAATCTATATTATTATTTGCGAAGTCAGAAATTTTATGTGTCGTCTCAAGAAAGATCGTCCTACGTGTTATTAATATGTGTCGTTTAGGGTTTAGGGTTTAAGGTTTCATAAGTTAAATCTGTGACATGAATTTGTGACTTTGCTCTAAATGGACTTCATAAGCCTGAATGATCTGCTATGGGCCATCAATTTCGAAAACCTTCTCAAAGCGGTTTTAATGAAAAAAACCTAATGTGTCCATCCGACTATATACATACTAGATAAACACCCACATATATAGAGGTTTATACTTCATTATTTTATAGCCGGTAAAAAAAATAATAAATAAAAAACTCTTTTATATAGAAATAGAAAATTAAATGTTGTTTTTTTTCCTTTTTTGAATTAGTAATTTATTGTTTAATCTTATTCATTTAAATATGAAAATTAAAATTAAAATTATTTTTATTTTCTTATTCAATTTTAATTTTAGAATAAATTTAAATTTTTATTATTTTTTATTTTTATTTAGTAACATTACTGATTTAAGATTACGAATATGTTATAATTTTTTTATTAACTTTGGCTTTTATTGTAATTTTATTTTCTATTTTCTTTATATATTTGATAACTTTACATTTTAGGATTAGAAACCGACTACAATTTTTTTTCATTTATTGTTAATATTACATATCAGAATCTAATTGAAAAGTTATTAAACACATGTCAAAATCTAATCGTTTATCTTGACACGTCTCACGATCTCGCGAATTACTAACTTTGAAACACTATACTTTATATATATAGATAGACAGATGTTGTTAGATATAATACTTATGTTTTTTTTAGGTCTAGCGCTTTTTTCTTTTTTTTTTCTTTGTTAATCAATTAATTATTCTATTAATAATTTGCATATGATTGTTTTCATATGTCTTGTTTTGTTTATGCTTGATACATTATTTCGTCGTGTAGACGATTTTGTATCACGTCGTTTGAACGATCTATAACGTCTGAAAATGTCATGCTCTTTTGTTTTTTTTTAAGAACGACACATGATTAGTTTCTAAAGTTCTTTTGATCATAATTCGTATATTTTGTTTCGTCTGCTTCATTTATTGTTTTGTTTAGTGTTTTTGATCGATACACCACTCCGTCATGTGGACGTTTTGTATCTCGCCTGGTGTGTGGCTCATAAAAAACGATCTAATGTGTATTTGGACATGTTGTGGCTCTTTTTTTTAGATTTTTTTTTTAAAGTCGAAACGTAAATATTACCTAAATTCTTTTTGTTATGTATCCAGTCTGTATCTTTTGTTTCTGATTTGTATATTTTATAATGATTCGTTTCACCTATTTGTATTGACAAATTTTCTTGTATTTTTTTCTTTCGCTCAAAATTGATTCGAACTAATGTGTTTTTTTTATTGGTGTGGGCCTTTGAGTTGATTAAGTGAGTAAAAAGAAAGGTAATTATTTAGGTTCATGGAGTTTGTCTAATCCGCTGTGTTGTTTTGCGGGTTTAATCATCATATTGCAGGTGAAAGGTTTTGCGGGTCAAGCCATGGCATGGAGTCAACACTTCTTAATACAAACTTTCATGTTCCACATCAATCTTCATTTAGTAAAAAGTGTATTATCTTAAGCGTCTTATATTGCCTAAGCCTCAGGTAAAAGAAAGAGAGAGAGATTCTTACGCTAGGGCAGTCCAATTAAATTATTGCTAAACCAGAAGAGTTGATTGATGGCACTTGTATAATCCAAGCAAGAGCAACCAATGTACCAAAAAAATTGAGTTCAAGATCGGTTACTCTCGCAATGGCCATACCTAGGGATACTATTCCTAATGCCACAACCTGTAAAAGAACAAACTCTAAAACAGGGTTAGAACAAAAAAACATGTCATGAGAGTTCTTAATTGACCTGGTGAAATCTCACAATAAACTAGCAAGACCTTTGTGGAAAAAATGGGTTCTTTTTGAGGAGAACAAACTCTGCAAGCGTAATCGTTGATGTCACCATGATCTTAGTCATTTGATAGAATCCAACTGGACAAAAACAAAAGCTTTCAAGTATGAGATAAGAAGATAAAACAGAGCGCAATCTTTTAATCTCTTTAGTGCCTGAACTCCGATCTACATAGTTTGATTAGTGCTATCAAAGGTCAATTAACAGCTTGAGATATAATTCTTGATGCAATCCTTACATATTAAGCTATGAACCTATTGTGTTTGAGGCTGGTATTAGCGAGACAAGAAGCAAAGGTCAAGACAGATCTAAAAGAGAAGAGAGTGAAGAACGGTATTGTCTTTGATGTAGGAGACATATTGGAATTGATTAGAGAGAATTTAAGAAAGCTAGAAGTATCCAAGCAACCAAAAAGATTGTTTACCTACTTACTGATACCATGGTTCCGCGACCACGCTTTTGAGAAAGAAAAGAATCGAGAAGACAAAGTGACAAAAGCTAGGAAATGGATTGTTTATCTACACTATGATACAATGGTTTTGCGCCCATGTTTGCGAGAGTTAAAGCCTTCAGGGTCATGAAATTGATCAGCATTTATCACCATTTGAGAGAGATTTAAAGCGTTCAAGAACATGTAATTGATCAGTATTTTATCACCGCTACTTTGTCCCTTCTGTGTTATTGATATCTGATTAATATGGTTGACAAAAAATGAAGTCTTCAGGTACATGTAAGTATAGGTAAGAACTGGCTAGAAGGAGAGATAAAAGCTACCAAAGAGGTTGTTTACCAATGCATGATAACACCAGATTTTGACCTTTTTTATGGATCACTTTAATGTCTTTTACAGGTGTTTTTACTCCATTTTCAAAGGTTTTCAAAGGATTTCTATGTTTTCGGATTTTAAAAGACTTTTCAGGTAATTTGGGATAAAGAAGCACAAATTGGAACAAAAGGACTCTTTTGGATAAATGCAGACCGTCAGAACTCTCATGGAGAGACGAAGATTTTCTCACCGTCTGATCACCCTCAAAATTGGACAACTTATAGAAGAATCAACCAGCTTTAAAATGAACTTGGTTTGGAGACATTCCAACGGTTGGATCTCAAGATATTCCATTAGCCCCGGAGTCACTCGAAGACGGTCAGCAAGTCACGCGACCGCGGCCAACAGCCTATTTCCCGCGGTCACAAGCCTCCCGACCGCGGCCAGCCACCTATTTCCCGCAGTCACGTCATTCCCGACCGCGGCCGGCTAACTCCAAACTAAAGCCCATATTTCTGAAGCCCAAAGTCATTCTCAGCCTCAATTCCGGAACCCTAGAGACCATGGAGTATTGAAAACTATAAATACTTGTCATTTAGGTCGTTTTTAGACACAACCTTCATACTTTACAGAAACCCTTTTTCCTTTTTAGCCGTTTTTATGCAATTTTTGAAGAAGATTGTTCAAGTCCGAGTTCTTCAATAGAGAAGCTTTCTTCATCTCTTTTCTTTACTGTTTTTGATTACTTTTATTAAAACCAATGATGATGTCGACCTCAGCCATGTCTGAGTAGATCCCGAGTTGGGTTTAGGGTTCCGGAATGGGGCTCTCATAATCGATTAAGACATCTAGGTTTATAGATCTGGGATTTCAACTTTGTTCTCTGTTTATTCTTGTTCTTATTGCATGTATGCTTGAATGATCACCTAGTATCTGATCTAGATAGTTAGTGTTGCGAAAGTTTTCATTAAGTATCAGCCCTAGAATGAAACAGGCGATTTTTCCGTAGGAGTGGAAACCTATCTGCGGCGAGATCCTGAGTATTGACGAGTCTTGTGCAGCTCTTGCGTTCTCTCCCTTCTAGGGCCAGAGTGGAAACCTACTGGTCAGGGTTGCGAGAAACAGTTGGTTATGATCACGACAGTGACGTAGTCATACCGCCGTACTCTAGCTCTAGAACCCTATATATCGATATCCGTAAATCCCAATCTATCTACCTTAGTGTTAAAACCGATTGGAGCACCCTCAACAATAAGATGTAATAAGGGGCTCTAATTCTATATTTTAATGGTTTTAATTATTTTGGTTGTTTTAGAACCTTAATTACATCTTTACCAAATTTGAATCTCCAATGGTAGGATGTAATGAGGGGTTCTAAAAAAAAATTGTTTTTTTTTAATTATAATTTTTAAAATAGAATTATTTATGAATACAAACAATTTTATTAATTTCAAATTTAAACAAACATTACATAAAACCAAATTAAATAGAAATATGTAAATCATAAACACCGTAAAAGATTAGGCATTGAGTCTTTTAACTAAGAGGAAAGAGTTTGTGGTGCAAGAAGGAGAAAATCTTGAGTTTCAGTTTGAGTTTAAGTTAGAGTTAGAGGAACAGAAAATTTTCTGTTTTAGTTGTTAGCATTGATTGTGAAACTAGTTAAACCACCACACCTAACTCTACTTTCATTCAACACAACATGACATAAAGCTTATTCTTCTTTGCATTGATCACTCTCTAATGCAAACTTAACAAAAACAGACCATTGATTTCTTGTCTAATCATCAGTCACAAACCATCCAGCATCATCCATCACAAACAACAACAAAGCCACGTAAATCAATCTATGCTTAATTCTCATTAACTCAAGCGGCAAGTTTTGTGGAGAATTTCTGAACTTTGCCTCACCAACAAATTTACCAGACACACACACAATTTACCCT